CTTGTAAACTTTTTTTTTTTCCTAAGAATAACTGGTAGCTAAAGAAAAAAGAAAGCTTCCCTTTTGTGTCTGCCAAAAGGCCAGGGTCATTTGGATTTGAAGTGTCTTAGCAACTCTAAGATCCCTGGACCAGGACTTCTTCCTGCCCTGCAGTTGTTTTTAGGTGCTCTGGGGGGGGGTGGGTCATGTCCTGAATGTTAGATCAGGCAGCAGGTTCTGCTCCATGAATCTACTCAAGCACTTGAGGCTGGACCAGCCACACCGAGGGGCCAAGGGGCCACGGGGTTGGCGAAGAACAAATGTTTTGTAAATGCTGACTTTGACATGAATGCCCATCAGGTAATGCCGCTAAAGTTCTGTGGGGTATCTCACATTTGGGGTAATTTTGTGTTTGTTCTGAATGTTTTGAGGTTGCTGCAGATAAATTTGAGAAATAAAGCTGAAGTGGGAACCATTGTTTGTTTTATTAAGAAGGCATCCTGTAACACAGGCTGGCCTCTAAGGTGTACCTGGGGGGGTGGAGGGCTCTGCACAGGTCTTCAGCGCATGTTATGCCTGGATTTGGGGTGCTTGTTGCGGCTGATAGAAATTGGGAAGAGCTGGGGCGCTTAGCTGGCTCAGGCGGTAGCACGTGAGACTCTTGATCTCAGGTTGTACGGTGAGCCCCGTGTTGGGTGTAGAGATTACTTTAAAAAAGTCTTAAAAAAAATTGGAAAGACCGCCTAGAGACCTGCAGGGTTTTCCAGACCTCCTTGGGGAGCCAGGGTGTGTATTTTATGCCTCCATACAGTAGGGAAGTGGTTCAGAGTGCGCGGACTTTCCTTTCATTCAGACCTGGCTTCAGTTCACAAAAAATTTAATTTCTAGCTTCACTACTCGACTTGTTGGCTATGGATCATGTTTCCTAATCTCTGAAAATTTCCTGATCTTTTAGGTGAGGATAAGCATCCCAAGTTCTCTTCAAGGAATCTGTGACTGTCAGGAGCCTCTCAGGGTTGACCAGCTGCTGTCCTCATCTCTCTGCCCTCCTTTGCTAAATCCACACAGCCCCCCTGTCCTTCGCTCTGACAGCACGACACATGCCTCAGACAGATGACAGGGTGGTCGGGTAGAGGACTGTTTGCTTTGTACAATAGATTTGAGCCATTTGGACCTAAGATCCCACCTGCTCCCTGTATTCACTTCTGGTTCTCAGTGTAGATTTGAGAGTTGTTAGTCTCAAGGGAACACTTTACAAACCGCCTTTGTGCTAATGGCTAATCCACCCTGTTTGACTCAAAGTACATTCCGCTGAAGACTTGAGATTTTCTGTCCCCAGATTCTGTGCATACCCCATGTGTGGAAACTAAAGCCTGGAATGTCTGCTGGTATATTTGTGGTGGGGGACTTGTGTCATGTGTGTGCTATAGGCCTGGAGCAAAGTTTCACAGGGGTATTCCTGATAGTTGCAGTAGCAGCTCAATATCTGGGCTGGGAGGGAATCAAAGTGGAGGAACCCTGCTGATATAATCATATTATAATATTTCATGAGTGCTTTCTATAGGTCAGGCACTTCTTGACTTGCCGTAGCTCATGTCATTAAATTGGCACAGTAATCCAGTGAGGTGTATACCCATTTTATAGATGAGAAAATTGAGGTAGAGAGCCCAAGTAACTTGCCCAAGGTCACTCCTATCTGGCCAGCAGTGGTTCAGAAATTCAAGCCAGGTCTTTCTGACACTAAAGGCCAGGGTAAGCTGCATCACAATTTTTTTTTTTTTTTAGGATTTTTTTTTTTTTTTAAGTAATCTCCACCCAACGTGGGGCTCTAGCTCACAACCCCAAGATCCAAAGTCATAGGCTCCACCGACTGAGTCAGCTGGGTGCCCCTGTATCACTACTATGAGTGACTCTAGAATGTTAACTCTGGTTAAATATCTTGCCCAAGACTGCGCCACTTGTAAGTGGCAGAACCAGAATGCAAACAAGCCTGCTCTTAAGCTCTCTGCTCTAACTCCTCTGTCATAAGCAAAGGCCCAGAGGTGGAATGACCCACTGTGGGGCGTGCCAGAGCCCTGGGAGCCTGGGAGGCCTGGAAACACCTGCAGTGATTGGGTTCCTGGGTCTAGATTAAATAGGCTCATCCCCCGCCCCCCCCTCAGCCCCCAGCCTGGTGTTTATTTCCCTAATTAAATTATAACTATACTGAGGGAAATGATTAACGAAAGAAAGTCATCATCAGCCCTGCTAACTCTGAGACCTATTTTTCCCTGTTCCATCTCACTTCCTAACTTTGTTACATAATCATTCTGCTTCTTTGCTTAACATTAAACTCCATTTTTATAGCTGCATACTATTCAATGAAATTGATATAATTCGCCTGACCATAACTTTCTTCCTATAGCCTTTTTTATTTTTGGGTTGCTTTTATTAGTACACATTTTAAAAGTAGATGTAACAATTCAAAGGATTGAAATACTTTTATTTATTTATTTATTTATTTATTTTTTAAAAGGTTTTATTTATTTGACAGAGAGAGATACAGCGAGAGAGGGAACACAAGCAGGGGGGGTGGGAGAGGGAGAAGCAGGCTTCCGCGGAGCGGGGAGCCCGATGCGGGGCTCGATTCCAGGACCCTGGGATTATGACCTGAGCTGAAGGCAGATGCTTAACAACTGAGCCACCCAGGCGCCCCTTGAAATACTTTTATTATCATAACTTTCAAGAGTCTGGTGATTTATCTAGCCACCAAGCAGTCTCTTACTCTGTTAGACCTCACTAACATTCAGTTTCGTATTTTTTTTTAAATGTGTTTTGCTGTTTTAATAAGCAGAAATATAGCACCATCAATCTTTTAAGTTTATATTCTTTTTTTTTTTATCATAGTTGACATACAATATAGTAATTTCAGGTGTAGAACATAGCGATTCGACATTTATATATGTTACGCGCTCACCACGATAAGCCTATTCACCACCTGTCACCATACCAGCTTATTGCAGTGGTGTTGACGGTGTTTCCCGTGCTGTACTTTTCATCCCTGTGTCTTACTTATTTTATAGCTGGGGGTCTGCACCTCTCAATCCCCTTGACCCATTTTGCCAATCCCCCTGACCCCCTTAAGTGTATTCTTAACAAACCAGAGAGTCCGAGTACTTTTTCATTTTTGTTCTCTTATTTAGGTATATAGAAATAAACCTTTGTCATGTTTGATGATGTACTTGTTTCCCCTCTTTTAGTTGTAGTTTTTTTGTTTTGTTTTTGTGTATGTGTTGTTTGTTTTTTAAAGATTTTATTTATTTATTTATTTTTTAAAAGATTTTATTTATTTATTTGAGAGAGAGAATTAGAGAGAGAGCATGAGAGGGGTGAGCATCAGAGGGAGAAGCAGACTCCCTGCTGAGCAGGGAGCCCGATCCGGGACTCGATCCAGGGACTCCAGGATCATGACCTGAGCCGAAGGCAGTCGCTTAACCAACTGAGCCACCCAGGCGCCCCTCATTTATCTTTTAGAGAGAGAGAGCATGTGCATGTGAGTAGGGGGAGGAGCAAAGGGGGAGGGAGAGGGAGAGAATCTTAAGCAGACTCCTGAGGGCGGAGCCCCGATGTGGCTGGATCTCATGACCCAAGATCATGACCTGAGCCGAAAACCAGAGTTAGACACTTAACTGACTGAGCCACCCGGATGCCCCCCACCCCAAAAAAGAGGTCTTAAAGGAACATTCTAGACTTAGAAAACAGAGCACTCTGTGCCTCCTCTTACATTTTCTCCTGGTTTCTTATACTATCATGCCAGAATGTTTCAGCTGAAGGTACAGACTGATATCAGACCTCAGTGCGGTGCCTTTCTGCTGAAACACTGATAGACTGGGTTCTCTTGCTATGTAAATTTTTTTGAAGATTTTATTTATTTATTTATTTATTTGAGAGAGAGAGAGAGAGAGAGCATGCAATCAGGGGGAGGAGCAGAGGAAGAGGGACAAGCAGACTCCAAACTGAGCATGGAACCCGACCCAGGGCTCAATCCCATGACCCTGAGATCATGATCTGAGCTGAAATCAAGAGTCAGCCACTTGGGGGGGGGAGGGGGAAGAATCAGCCACTTAACTGAATGAGCCACCGAGGCGCCTCTCTTGCTATGTGAATCTTTTTTTTTCTAATTTTATTTATTTATTTATTTGAGAAAGAGAGAGCCTGAATGGTGGGGAGGGGCAGAGGGAGAAGGAGAAGCCGACTCCCTGCTGAGCAGGGAGCCTGACACAGGGCTCTATCCCCAGACGCATGATATCATGACCTGAGCCGAAGGCAGTCGCTTAACCAACTGAGCCACCCAGGCGCCCCCAGGATCTCGGGATCATGACCTGACCTGAGCCGAATTAACCGACCGAGCCACCCAGGCGCCCCTGTTGTTTTGTTTGTTTGTTTTTAAGGCAACTTTTTATTTTGGAGCATTTCCAACGTTACAAAAGCGTGGTAGTATAGGGGCGCCTGGCTGGCTCAGTCGGCAGAGCATGCGACTTTTGATCTCAGGGTTGTAAGTTCGAGCCCTATGTTGGGTGTAGAGTTTACTTAAAAAAAAAAAATAGAATAGTGTAGTGAATTCCCATTCACCCATCAAGCAGTTTCATGAGTTATAAACTCATGCCTGGTCTTGTCTCATCTGTGCTCCCTCTTTGTTATTTTAAAGCAAATTTCAGGCGAGATATTGTTTAATCTGTGATTATTTCAGTGTCTCTAAAAGATAGAGACTTTTTAATCATAATCACAGTTGTTTTACTTTTTAGTTTTTAAATTTAGTCAAATCTGTTTAATTTGTCCTTTCATTATTTTTTTATTCCATGCTTTGAAAAGAAGGGTTTTTCTCGAAAGCTTGGCAGAGAGACGTTAGAGAAGGGTGAAGAGTCAGAGGGGAGAGGAGGCTGTCCGGAGCGAGGCTGCTGGGTCCTATGTGTCTGGTGGGGAAGCAGGAGGAGAGGGTGGGTGTCTGGAGCCTCTCACTCACCTGCCTTTCCTTCTTGCAGGCTTATTTGTCATCATGGAGCTGCTCCACCCAGCCTTCCCTAACTGCTTCCTGCTGACCTGGGTCAGCTTATGGAGTGCTATTCCTGAAGCTCACGCTGTGTCCACAGGGACGCCAGGCATCAGTGCGGCCTTTTTCCTGCAGGACCTCCTGCATCGCTACGGGGAGGGTGACAGCCTCACCCTGCAACAGCTCAAGGCCCTGCTCAACCACCTGGATGTGGGCGTGGGCAGGGACAATGTCACCCAGCCCGTGCACGGACAGAGGAACCTCTCGACGGTAAGGCTCTCAGCTGTGCTGAGCACTGTCTGCCCCCTGGGGGGGTCACAGTCTAGTCAGACACGGGAAGCCCACGCAGCTTGAGGCAGGCGAGCCATGATGGTAGAACAGAGGGGCCAACTCTTCTTCCCCCATTGTCTGGGTCCCCAGCAGCACCTCCTGTCCTCCCACGTAGCTGTTCTGAAGCCCTGACTGGAGGGAGCAGTCAGTGGGAGTTCTCAGCCCTCCGCATGCTTCCTCACCGCTGCACTGGGATCACCCGTGGGCAAGCCAGAGCTCCCGGGACAGCCAGCGTGTCTCATAGGGTTTACAGGTTACAAGGCCCTTTGCCTGCAGTCGCAGGGGAGCCTCACACTCCCTCCAGGTGCAGGTGGAAAGCCTTCATTATTTACAAGGGAATGCCAAGGGTCCTTCAGTGAGTTCCTGGACAGTGCAGGACTAAGACCCAAGTCCTTTGGCTTCTGGTTCTCTTTGTTCTTCCATGTCATCTTGGCTAATCATAGTCTGAGGCTATTTGTGGCGGCCAAATGTAAGTCAGCCAGCAATGTCTTTATATATCTGCTTTGTTCCCTGTGCTGAGGTGCTGCGAGAAATAGAGAAAAATGAGTCATGTTGAAGAGTTTGCTGTCAAGATGGAGAGCTTACCCACCGGAGGACAGAGTTATCTGATAAAAAAAATGAAGTGTTAGGGGGGCCTGGGTGGCTCCGTCGGTTGAGCGTCCAACTCTTGATTTCTGCTTAGGTCATGATCTTGGGGTCACGGGAGGGGTCGTGGGATTGAGCCCCGCTTTGGGCTTTGGGCTCCAATTTTGGCGGGGAGTCTACTCGAGATTCTCCCCCTCTTCCCCTCCCCCCTGCTCACTCACTTTCTCATTTTCTCTCTCTAAAATGAATAAGTAAATCTTTTTTAAAAAATGAAGTGTTAAATGCTATGGGTTGGACAGTCTTCATAGGATTCAGAGGCAAGCGGGGGGGTGTATGCTAGAGTAATCAACAAAGGTTTGGGGGCTAAGTGTCCAGGGCCTTCATCTTGAAGGAAAACTTTTTGGAGAGGTCACACGGCCAAGGGACCAGGCAGCCTGGATGCAGAAGCGCAGGTGTGCAGTGATGTTGGAGTTGGGCAGCAGGCTGCCCTCACAGGCCCATGCAGACTGACCCCAGGGGGCCTCCTGGCGCAGCAGCAGTATCTTGGGGTCACCGGAGTCCAGCTGTGTCTGCTTTGTAGGCCCAGGAGCTCTCACTTGTCAGCACACCTGGAGGGCTGTTAGAGACTGACCCATGTTAAACCAACCCAGATAAAGACTGATTCTAAGTGTATAAAGTATAATTAGAAGTAGAACTGCAGTGTTTCATAAGAACAGTATGTGAGAACTACTTACCTAACGCCTCCCAAGGGGAGTGAGCATTCATGTCCTCTACCAGCCCTTATGTGCTTCATGGTAGGTAGACTGAATCTTTAGATTTTCCTTCCTTCCTCCCCTAATCTCTGTCAACACATTCTTCAGGCTGGGGTCAACACTACATACATGGTCAAGGGGGCTGATGTTCCTCTTTAGGTGCCAGAGCTCAATAGCTTTGGAGAAGTATCTGGAATATGCATTTTAATATAATAACTCTTCAGGCTGTTGTGATGTGCGGGTAGATTTGGTATCTGGATGAAGCTGTATCTTCAGGTATGCAGATAGAATCATGTTTTCCAAAAAGCACACCCTGGTCACAAAGACTGGGATTCAGTTGTTCCCAGACCTTGTGGGCAGCCAGGTACTAATGGGTGTGTGTAAGGTGTGTGACTTGCGCTGGGCGACTGATCTCTGAGATTAGTCATCAGTTTTTCAAGTTGAGGGACCACCTTGCTCTCATCCCTGGAGATGAGTCGTTAGACACCCGCCCCAGGATTTGGACAGGTTCCATTTTTGTTTTCTCCTCGTGGAAGGCTAGTCGGTTGCGGCAAGAGGTGACATGTGATTTTGGGTTCTGAGAGGCTTCCTGCCTCTTGCCCTTTGTCTCAGTGCTTCAGTTCTGGAGACCTCTTTGCTGCCCACAATTTGAACAACCAGTCACGGGTTGGAAGGATTGAGTTCCAGGAGTTCTGCCCTACCATCCTCCAGCAGCTGGATTCCCGAGCCTGCTCCTCTGAGAACCAGGAGAACGAGGAGGATGAGCAGACAGAAGAGGGGAAGCCAAGCGCCATCGAAGGTGAGCGGGGACACGGAGGCTGGGGCCAGGGCTGCTCACGGAAGATCTATCCAGCGAGCAGCTCATCAACACCGGGGGAGTGGGTTAGAGGGATGGTGACACTGCTATCTTCCACACTCACACAGCTGCTCCGGCATATTGTCGGATTGGGTGGCGTGGCTGGTGAACTCAGTGTGGGCTTTTGGACCAGCCTGTGGATGCTTTTTTTTTTTTGGCCACTTTTTCATTTTTGTTCTCATTAAACTACAAGGGACTAATGCCTTGGTGTTGCAGTGTGGCTGCCCTCGGCCCCCTTCCCCCTTCCCCTGCCCTGCGCAGGCCCTGTGCGCCGGCCAGGGCGGACCCCAGCGGCTGTGAGTGTCCGTGACTGCCGCGGTCCTGCCCGCCCCTCGGTGCCTAGCATGTACAGCCTGCCTTGTGCTCATTGTTTGCTGCCCTCATCATTTCACTCCTGGTTTTTTCAACTTGCCTGTCGTTATCACCTGCCTCTCCATTGAAAAGGTAAGCTTCTTCTGAGAGCAGCTTTGCTGTGTTTGTAGGCTTCCCCACAGCACCCAGCTGGAGACGGACTCCGGTCTGTACTGACGGGTTGCTGTTCTTTGTCTGCCCCGATCGTAGCTGAATTCCAAACCGGCCGCCCCAGGCAGCAAGAACACCCCCACCCTCAGTAATGGAGGCCCTCGTCTGTTCTTGTTCCTCCACAGTGTGGGGCTTTGGCTTCCTCAGTGTTTCCCTGATTAACCTGGCCTCTCTCCTGGGAGTCCTCGTCCTGCCGTGCACGGAGAAGGCCTTTTTCAGCCGTGTGCTCACATACTTCATCGCCCTGTCCATTGGAACGCTGCTCTCTAACGCGCTCTTCCAGCTCATCCCAGAGGTGCAGTAGAACAGAACTCGTGCGTCCTCTTTCCCTGGGGGCCAGCCGCTGCGCCGGCCCCACCCCGTGTTCCGAGGCACCTGACAGTTGCCACCTGAAAAATTCACTTCTCCCTCATATCAAGGGACACCAATATGACTTCTGACTCTGGATCTCGAGGGCCTTCTCTCGCTCTGGGGCACCCAGGTTGGCCTGTGGCCTCTTCAGGTGATGTCAGATGCAAGGCTCTCCCCATTTGCCCTCCCTGTCAGAGATCTGTCAGCCTCCCTTCCCCAGTCCCTGCCTCTCCAAAGCCCGGTTTGCAGGGCTCAGAGGGAACGGTGCAGCTGGTGGTCGCTGTCCAAGCCCTGGTACTCCACACCCGCTCTGTTCTAAGCAGAGGCCCTGGCAGTACTCAGGTTGGCCGCCACGAGATCACCCATCTGGAAGGAGGTGGAAGGAAAAGAGGCTAACAACTGATTGATAGAATTGGGCTCAAAAGCAAGTGATCTTTTTTTTTTTCTCAAGTAGGCCATAATTCGTACCATAGAGAGCCAAACAGAAGAAAAACTATTTAACAAAAACAAATGAGATTAAAATCCCAAGACAAAGGAAAAGGCACTCAGTCCTTCATACCTTGCATCTTGACTTTTTCCTGGGATAGGACTGACCTCCTGGCGCCCTTACTTGACTGTTTTGAAATATTTGTTAATTTTGCTTTTTAATTGTGACCACTGAGGAGCTAAAAAAATAAGACCCAAGTTGACGGTCTGCCCACTTTGTCAGCTCAGGCAGGGCTGTGCCCATGCAGTAGGGATGACTGTGTGGACCTCCTTTGGGAACAGGGGCGCTGCCTTTCATAAAAAGAGTCCGTGTCAGTGACTCCCCAGCCTTTCCCAATCAAAAGACTTAGCCAGAAGCGATGTCAATGGGATGCCCAGGCCTTGCCTTTTCCTTCTAAATGAGAGAAGAAATTTGGTTTAAGAGGAACCATCTCAATGTTATCTAAAAATCCCACATTACTCTAACAAGCACTTCTCATGGGAGGCCTCATCTTGGTCTTTTTTTTCCAGCTCCAGAAACTGAATTTATTAATTCTTTAAAGATCTGAAATAAAATGCCGTATTGCCTGTTGAATGGAAATATAATAATTGTACATGCTCCGCCCCTGTGGCTCACAGGGGCGCGCCTGGTCCTAGCTCCATTTCATCCTACCTGGAGTGTGGGACACTGGGAAATAACAGAGGAAATATTTTTTGTGACAAGGTGATCTTGGAACTCTGTCCTCTATGCTGGAGTGCTCTCAGAGCAAATGGAAACAAACTTGGGAGAAAAACAAAATCAAAACAGAACAAAAAAACCCCTGAGAAGTGAAGAAACAGAATTTTATGGGCCTCGGTTTTGCCTGTTCTCCATCCCGCTGCCCTGCACACCTGACTTTGTGGTGTCTTGCGCCAAGCCTGCCGAGTCCAGGTGGTGTATGTGCCTATACGGTGTGGTCCGGATGTGAAAAGCAAACACGGCAGCACAGTGAGCTCTCTTTGTCCCCTTGATCTTGTTTCCTAGTAAAGAGAGAGCCCTCGAGTCCAAAGTCTGTCATGGGCAGCCTGTGGATAGGCCTAAGCACACCTCCGTGGTGTGATGAGGCAGCGTCCCACCCTGTAGCCACACCAGCTGGCAGGTGCGCCTCCAGGTGTCCCTCGGGCCACCGGGGGGTTCCAAGGCCACCTTGAATTCCTCCTGATCCCACTGATTGAAGGAAATTTCATCAGACTTGAATCACTAACAAATTTTCTGTTTCTCTCTCCCTCCCTACTTGTCTCTCTGATTTTTCTTTTTTGTTTCCTTGTTAATATCCACCCAAACCTCCCACATTGCCTCCCCATCCTTTCCACCCCATGTTTCCCCTAAATGGTGGTTGCTGTGAAATGGGGCGTTGGCCCTTGTCCTTGTCCTGGGTGGGGCTGGCTCTCCCCCAACGGCAGTGTGGGGATACGGTCTCCTCTGTGTGACTGTCATCTCCCTGTGCTCCCTCATGGGGGCCAGCGTGGTGCCCTTCATGAAGAAGACTTTTTACAAGAGGCTGCTGCTCTACTTCATAGCTCTGGCGATTGGAACCCTCTACTCCAACGCCCTCTTCCAGCTCATCCCCGAGGTATGGCAAGCCAGGACTTTCCCACACAGGAGCATGCCAGTCTCTGGCGGGGGGACCGCGGGGCACAGCGGGAGAACCCTCCACTTCGACACAAGGAATAGGAAGGAGGAGGTCCTTTACTTTCAGAAAATAAAGCTGAGATGGAGTCACGAGTGAGGAGAGGACGCATAGCATAGGTTTGGGAGCTGGGTTGGAATCCCAGCTCCACCTTCGACAAGTTCGGTGACCTTGGGCAAATCACCGAACCTCTCTGTGCTTCTGTTTCCTCTTGCAAAATGGGGGGGATGATCAGACTGACCTCATGACGGTGTTGTGAGGGCTCCATGAGTTAATGCTTGTAAAGCACTGGGGGCCCAGTACGTGCTCTAACTGCCGGGTGATAAGATGTAGTGTAGTGAGATCACTTTATGGCTCCTGACTGGGAGCTCGGGGCACACACAGAAAAACCAGCAGAATCCATAGGTCTCAATAAAAAGATCTGTCCTCTGCAGTAGGTTGTCTTGGGGCAAAGGTGGTCTAAATAAAACAGCCTGGTTTTGTGTACACAGACGGCACCTTTGCCCCATTGCCTAGGTTAACAAGAAAATCTTCATGGAACAGGAGCAGCTTAGTGTTTGTCAGTCTGGCAGGAGGCCTTGGAGAAGCCCCGCCTCTGCAGTAGCCCCACTGATGACAGTAAGCAGGAGGCGTCTCCTGATAGGTGGTCTGACAGGCCTGGGCCCATAGCCAGAGGGGAAGCACAAAGATGATGCTACATGCTTCTTCTCAGAGCACCTTATGTTTTCTAGGATGTGCTTCTGTGTCTTCTTAGTTGATTCTTACTTAGATCAACTGATGCCTAGAGAACAAGTAATGCTTTGCCCATTGAACAGATACAGAACAAGAGCACGTATCCTGGAGGCCGGGTTTCATAACTCCTAAAGCTGTGCTTTTGTACTCTGCCATCCTTCCTGGCTTTTTGTGGAGAACTGTTAGTTGACGGTTTTCACTCCACTCTTCTTAAGATGATTTGTCTCTCCTGGAAAGTCGGCCTGTATGTGTCACTTCTACTCTAGAACTTGACCTTTACGTCTCTGAGGAAACAATACAAGCAAGTAGAGATGCAGTTTGCCCCTTTAAAACAGAAAGGAAAAACACTCACCTTTTAAGCGGCCCAGAGTTCCTGGTACTTAGGATCACTTTCATCTTTGACCTTTTCATGAGAAGGCTGGTTTATTCAAGAGGGTTGTTTCCTGTCCGAAGATGGAGGGAGCAGGTCACCAGCCAGTTTCCCAAGGCCTCACAAGTCAGGAGCATCACGGAGTGTGGAATTCTCCTGATTCCTGCTCCAGTCCTTTTCCCAATAGATTTTGTTTTTCCCGCCATGATCAGTGAACTTTCCAGAAATAGCCCAAAACAAGCCCCCACCCCCAAATTGACACGTGCAGTAACACAGTCTGCTTTCTTGGCTTTGCGGTCACTGGGAGGTCTGTGGTCAGGAAGATGCCGCAATTCTCATCATTTAACTGGGGAATGGATTTCCCATTTTAGAAAGTGTAATTATACCATCTCTCTTTGTGTTTATAGGCAGATTAGCCAGGGACATTAGATAACAATGAAAATAAACACAAGCGTCTTAAGTATGGAATTTGCAGGCAGATTCTGCCCTTGTAGCAAAGTACCAGGAAAAATGAAGACAGTCTTTACTAAAAGTAGAAAACCATATCCAGGGCTGTTCTTCCTGAGAGTAAAATTCTAAAGAGGATCCATCTTTTGCATCAGAAAATAAGCTAGAGAGAACTGACAGGCCTGGTGATGTGGCATGAAGGCAAGTCAGGGGATCAATTTGGCTGGAAAGGGAAGGAAGTGGTAGGTGGCAGAGCTATCCCAGTGAGTACATCTCTTTCCTTTCCTAGAATCAAGGAAGTGGTTAAGAGACGAGAGGGGACCTGTGAAGTTTTTTTTTTTTTTTCTTAAACTCACTTTGTTTTCCTGGGTCCACAGGCTTTTGGCTTCAACCCTCAGGAAGATTATTATGTCTCCAAATCTGCAGTGGTGTTTGGGGGCTTTTATCTTTTCTTTTTCACAGAGAAGATCTTGAAGATGCTTCTTAAGCAGAAAAATGAGGTGAGGCCTAATTGTTGGGAAAGGCGGTGCTTCTAGGGAAAGCATCCATCCTAGAAACGTTTGTGTGTCTCGGTAGTGGGGTTATCTGAGCACCGAGGCAGTGAACTTACCTGCTATCCCCCACTCCCCCACCCCGCTGTGGACAGATTTGAGGAGTATCTCCCCTCCTGTGGATGTTAGCAACTGGTGAAGACAGACCAGAAACCAGATCTGGCCTGTGTGCCTTTCTCACCTTGTTTCATTCAAGATCATTTCTTTAATATACCTTTGGTGTCTTTAAGTGGTGAGGGAGGGGCTTGATACATACAGTCATTGGGTGGGAAGTACCACCACAGAGAAACTGGATGCTGATTGCAGAATAGCTCCAAAAAGGTATCTTTGGTGCCTGGCATGCAGTTAGCCTCTAAATAGTTGCCGAATGCAATCAGGGTAGCTCTTGCCAAGGAGGAGCTCTAAACCTTCCTAGCCGGGAGGGCCGCCTCGCTGGAACGAGTGTTGGCCCTGAGGTCACTGCTTTGATTTCTGTCGCACACCAAACCCTTCCATTCACCTTGGTTCAATTTCTATAACAACTTACCCTAGGTTTCTGTGTGTATTGCCTGCTTGTGTTTTCTCTGATGGTGGGAATGAAGAGGTCTTCCCAGGGCTGGGAGCACCTACCCCGAGTGAGTGCTTAGGAGGTTTTGTGGTTCGGGTGAGTGTCGTGCTGATCCCTCCCGGTGGTCCCTCCAGTATCATCATGGACATAGCCATTATGCCTCTGAGACACTTCCTTCCAAGAAGGACCAGGAGGAGGGGGTGACCGAGAAGCTGCAGAATGGGGATCTGGACCACATGATTCCTCAGCACTGCAGCAGTGAGCTGGATGGGAAGGCCCCCGTGATGGACGAGAAGGTCATCGTGGGCTCCCTCTCTGTCCAGGTGAGTGGGCCCTCTGCTCTTGGGTGGGAGCTTTTAGTAATGGCCTTGATGGCTCAGGCTTACCTTGAAGGTCCATCCTTTGACCGGGGGGCCATGGGGATGGGCTCTCTTGTAGGACCTGCAGGCCTCCCAGAGTGCCTGTTACTGGTTGAAAGGTGTCCGCTACTCTGATATTGGCACTCTGGCCTGGATGATCACCCTGAGCGACGGCCTCCACAATTTCATTGATGGCCTGGCTATCGGTGCCTCCTTCACCGTGTCTGTTTTCCAAGGCATCAGTACCTCAGTGGCCATCCTCTGTGAGGAGTTCCCCCACGAGCTAGGTGAGTGTGCGGACTCTGCGCCGGCCCAGCCCGCCTGCGTGGCCGTGGTTGCTGGCACAGCGCCCCTCCTGTGTCCGACCCTCCCCTGCCAAACTTCAGAATGCTTAGTATAATTAACACATTCTGTGTGCTCTGTGAAATCTAACCACTAATTCTTAATGGTTGAATTAATAATTGAAATTGATCATTGAAAATGATGGAGATTTTTAAGGTTTTATTTATTTTAGAAAGAGATAGAGAGTGTAAGCCGGGGGGGTAGGGGGCAGAGGGCAGAGGGCGAGGGAGAGAGAGAATCTTAAGCAGACTCCCTGCTGAGCGCAGAGCCCAACAGGGGGCTCTATCGCAGGATGCCGAGATCATGACCTGAGCTGAAATCAAGAGTTGGACGCTTAACCAACTGAGCCACCCAGGCACCCCAAAAATGATGGAGATTTTTATAGGGGTGTTTGTTTCCCTGTAGCCCCATATCCTGTGGCTGTTTCCTGACCTCTAAAATGGGGTTAATAATAATGCTTCATAGATTTTTCATGAGGATTAAAGGAGCAAAAACAGTGAAAAGGACTTGCTATATGTCATAGAGTATTCTAAGTGTTCAATATAGGTTATCTCTCTCTCTTTTTTAGGTTATGTCTTACATCCTATTAATCTTGCAAAGGTTGAGATGTCTGTTAGAGGTCATATGGGTGGAAGAAGTAGATGAGCCAGGAGTTAGAAGGTCCTTAGTTTTATCAGAGCAAAAATGTGAAAGGCCCAGACTTCAGAGGCTCAGACACTCAAGGTCAAGTCCTGGCTTTGCCAATTTACTGGCTTGTGACTTTGGACAAATTATTTAACTTCTCTCAATCTCACTTCTGTTTCCTGAAAACACCATTCAGTGTAGTTGTGAGGAAAGAAGCTCCTTCTATTTCATCATCCATCAAAAGAACAATGAGGCTATTGCTAGTGGCTTATCTATGATGAAAATCTTGTGCGTTATTTTCAGCCTCTGGGCTGGAAATACATGGCTAGTTTTGTAAATGGAGACAGCTCCGAGATGTGAAGAGGAAGTCTGTCTTGATTGTTCCCCCAGACGTTATGCATAGTGGAAGCAGTTTGTCCTCATCATATTCTCTGTCCGTGACCTAGCGTTAACTCTTCCACGCCCTTCCCTCTTGTTGTCCTGCCTTAGGAGACTTTGTCATCCTGCTCAATGCCGGGATGAGTATCCAGCAGGCTCTCTTCTTCAACTTCCTTTCTGCCTGCTGCTGTTACGTGGGTCTGGCCTTTGGCATCCTGGCTGGCAGCCACTTCTCTGCCAACTGGATCTTTGCACTGGCTGGAGGAATGTTCTTGTATATTGCTCTGGCTGATATGGTAAGTCTTCCATAGTTCATGCCATGTAGGCAAAATGGGACTGGGTTATTCATTGGACGGGAGGCAGCTGAGAGGACATGAGTTAGTTTGTTTTTAATAATAGCTTTGTTGAGGAATCACTCACATACCACACAGTTCACCTATTTAAGGTGTGCAGTTCAGTGCTTTTTTTTAAAGATTCCTCTTTTTTCATTTGAGACAGAGCAAGAGAGAGAGCATGAGTACGGGGAGGGGCAGAGGGAGAAGGAGAAGGGGCCTGATGCAGGACTCGATCCCAGGACCCCAGGATCATGACCTGAGCCGAAGGCAGACATTTAACCATCTGAGCCACCCAGGCGCCCCAGGTTCAGTGCTTTTTAAAGGACAAAAAACTTACCAGCATGTGTTATTAAAGAAAAGGATTAACCTCAACTCCACAGTCCTCCCTTCAAAATACTTAAGTATTACAGAATGGATGCATATAGGTAAATGAAGAGAAGGGAGGAGGGAAAGGAAATGAACACTGAATATACAATTTTATGTTTGGATTTCCTCTTATACTTAATATACCCTAGACATTTTTCACATTGCATATCCTTTAGAAGCATCCTTTTCAATGGCAGTATTTTTTGGTGCGAGGATATACCTTATCTAGAACTAGAATTGCTGGCTCAGAAAGGGTGCCTTGTGGTTTGAGCTTTAATGAGCGTTGCTGTTCTCGGCAGCGTCGGCCAGCACACGTGGTATCCTACCCGCCAACGTTTGGTGTAACCCTCCTAAGTAGCTTCGAGTTGGCGAATGAAATACCCGGTTGGTTACGTCTTCTGTAGAACACGGGTGATTTCTTTTCTTGTTTGTTGGCATGACATGTTCTCTGGCGCGTTTGCACGAATGATTTCCCGTATCCTTTGGAAACGATACTTTTGATGCAGTGATGAGAGTGGTGACCACCACGGCCCCTCCTCACCCCTGGAAAACATTTTAGATTCTCTCCTCTCGTGGGGAGCCCTCCCATGGTGGTGAGGTTAGTCTTCTGCTTGCATTGCTCGAATTCGAAGCTCTGCTCACGGTCACCCACCTTGCTGGCCCGCCGCTGGGGGCCTTGAGTCATAGCGATGTCATAGCTCCAGGCTCTAGTTCCTTACACAGTTGCTCAATTTCCCAAAGAGCGGGCAGCGGTGTTTTGGTAACAAAAAATCTTCTGAAGTGTTTTTCAAGTGCACAAAAAACAGTTGATTTTTATCAGAGCAGTTATTTTTAGCCAGCATCTACATCTATCCAGGGCTCCATGCGCGGATAAATACTTGGTTTTACCTCAGTAGTTGAAAAGTCGCCGGAGCCAGCTTGGACCACAGCTGGTAAGGCTATTGCTGCTGATTTGTCTTTGTGAAGGGGTTCTATCTAATATCCATGTCTCAGTTACATATTCTGTCTTTAGAACAGTTACAATGATCTATACCATTACGTTGTAATCCTGTATTATGTGGTAATTATTGTGTTCATGTTCTAATACAAATACACTTAGGAGTAGGTATTATAATGATGATTCAGTGTGCTCCGTCTCTCTCACGGAATTGTCCTGGGCTGCCCAGGTTGAGAAAGGAACTGCAGCTCTCTTGTTTTTCTCCTCTTCTCAGTTCCCTGAGATGAATGAGGTCTGCCAAGAGGATGAAAGGAACGGCAGCGTCTTGGTCCCCTTTGTCATCCAGAACCTGGGCCTCTTGACTGGCTTCGCCATCATGCTGGTCCTCACTATGTATTCGGGACAGATCCAGATCGGGTAGGGCCCTGCCAGGAGCCGGCGGGATTGGAAGCTGGCCCTTGGCCACCCGGTCCCTGGCCCTCGGCTGCGGCGCCCATGACGCCCCAGACTGTGACACGGACTGTACTCCTGCATTCACATGTCAGCTGTTTTTACACATGCTCTGTCCTAGGAATAAGCCGCCCTGGCAGCCAGGCTCTAGGTAGTGCCTCTCCCTCCCTCCCCCTTCTTTCTCAGAGTGACCCTGGAACCGGAATGCAGCTCCCTTAGCAGGCAAGCCTCACTCTTTTCTCTGGCTACCCTGGCCTCTTAGTCCTCAAACCAGCAGCGAGAGATTTTGCGTCCTTGCCCTACGACGCAGAAACACTGCCAGTGCTTGTGACTTGGTCAGCAGTAGCAGGAGGTGAGTCTCTGGTTGCAGGGCCCCTGAATCTAACTGTGTGTCCTGGACCTCAAGATGACCCATTTTGAAATAAATTCACCTGTTTTTCCAGAGAAAAGATACAGGAAACAAGAATCCCTCCTATTTTTTCAGTCTGTCCAGTTGCCTATTTTTTCAGAGAGAACTGAAAGTTGGAACACGTGTAGGGCAAGAGAGGAGGCGAGGATCATCCCGGGGGGGTGGGGGATAGAAGTGATGGCTGTGTCCCTGTTCCCCCGCCCCCCCATGCTGGACGATAGTGTTGTGGCCACAGGGCTGAGCCAGCGCCCCCCGCTGGTGGAATGCTGTACAGGGGTCAGTTGCCTGGACCTCCTCCCCTTCTTTCACATTAACACTGACGGAATGGAAGGCGGAGAATGGAGACCTGCAAGAAATCAGTTGGTTTGCTCTGATTTCCACCTCCCCTTCCTCCCCTCTCCCATCTTCTGAGAGACATTTTATCTGGCTCCCTAGAAGCACATTTACAGTCTTGTATCAGAGGGGAGACTGCACAAATTTCCCTCCCCTGGTCAGTACTTCTGCTGCAAAATGGCACGTTTCCTTGCGGAATTGGCTGCAGCTCATGCGCTTCTTAGACAAAGGTGATCGGAAATGGACTCGGTGCAGGCCCAGCTGAGGATTTGTTGATTGCATAAATAAAAGTACAAGTAATGGAAGACGGGGCCCTGCAAATGCTTGCTGAACAGGGGCTTCCGGATGAGGCACTGTGAGTGGATTTTAGGTCCCCTTTCCTCCCTCACCCCAAGCGAGAAAGGGCGAATCCTATACTGCATTGAACATTAATCGCTCTAACCCTCTTCAGAAGATGGATTGATAGACTTGTCTGTGAGACTGTAGGCCAGCCCCAGGCACTGTGGAGCCCTCTCCTCAGAACTCTGGCTTCAAGGGGAGCTCATCTCCAGGTTCACTAGGTGAATTGATTTATTATTATCATATTGATAATGTCAGATTCTTTAGCCACTTTGGGGAGCCAGTCTCTCCAGAAGCCTTTCTTAGTGGTGCCCACACTCGCAGCCCAGGGGCTGTGTTCACTAACTGATTTGTGTGCATGACTGACGAGGGCTGGTCATGGCCAACACCTGTGAGTTTTTCTGTTCTTACACAGGAAGTCTTTCCACTGTACAGTAGTTAAAAGCCGCGTCTATTTTATTTTTGGTTTTTTTTCTTCTTGGGAAATGGCCCTCAAACCAGGAATAGTCTTTTTTTTATTTTTATTTTTTATTTTATTTTTTTTTGGTACAAAGAATAATCACTTTATTGTTAGTGCCAAGAGTAGGAGTGTGTCTGATCATGCAGATAGATGAGGATATATGTGCCCACTGCATCCTGGCCAGTCAGGAATAGTCTTGAAAAGAGTATGAGCGGGAAAACTGCTGGCGATGCTTTATACATTTTTCTCCTCTTTCCTGTTGACTTGGATAGATTTGAGAATGGGCTGAAGAAGAAGGAAAACTTGAGTTCTCAAGATTCTAGAGTATATATCAGGACTGACTCCTGATAGGATTATGGTCCAATTTTACCAAAGAACCAATTCCTTGAATGTTGGAATCTAACTTTTTATATTATCATTATTTTTATTATTGTTGTGACTGTTTTAAAACGGTTCTCTGTCTTTTCTGTTTTATTTTTCTCGGTGTCTGACATGGCTTTCGGGAGCTAGTAGCAAATAACACTCAAACTTTTAAGACTTTACAGAGATTTTTCTTTCCCTAATTCACATGGATATATGAAATTCATAATTTTAGCATTCCCTGTAGACCTGTCATTCCTTACAAATACCGTTTTTCTCGGAGTAGAATCCTAAGTTAGAGTTAGTGGGTCCTAGTTTTAGGAGAAGAGCTTGAAAATATAATTGTTATCAACTTAAAAAAAATAAAGTATGAAGTACTAGGGTGCTTTCCTTTTTCATGCACATCTATATTAACCTCCCTTCTATATGAACTTCCCTTCCATAGACAGCTGCCTCAAAGGGAAATTCTCTTTAAACTGGAATTGGCCCAGAGGCCAGTCCTGGCTGGAACCTGGCTGGGGTGGGGCCCCGCGAGTAAGTCAACGGAGCGTCTGCTGCTGCTGGTGGCAGATTCGCCTCATGAGTTGAACATGTGGCAATTCCCTTTTGACTTTTAGCTCTTGGATTTGCTGTTTTAAGCATTTGTACATATTAGAAGTCTGAGGAGTGGCAAGTTTTGAGAACTTGTTCACCCCTGGCATTAGCGTCTCCCACGTCTTTCCCCAGGTGACCAGCTCCTGATGTTAGCGAGGAAAGCATATGTCCCGTGCAGGAGCAGTGATCTGGGAGCAGGCAGGCTGCCTTCTTTCCTTGCCCCCAGACGCGGCTGGTATCTCTTGTGTCTAGTGTCAGCGTGGGGCTTTCCCTCATTGGTCCTTCACCCTGGGTTTAAAAGAGAAGGCATCTCTGTTGGGTATCCTAAGACCTGTCTGTAGTTAGTCCTCTTCCAAAGAGACGGTAGTGTTCTGGAAATCTGCTTAAAAACAAAAAGCTGTCTGATTTTTGCAAGAGAGGTTAAGTTTTTGTTGTTCATCTTTCCTTTTACAGTTCTGAAGTTCCATCACAGTATTTTTTTAAATAACTCAGGTGTTATGAGGATAAACTAGAAAAGAAAATAACTTATGTGGACTGTAAATGTTTATTTGTAAGATTCTATAAATAAAGCTCTATTCTGTATTGTGGAATCCCAAGTGTGATCTTTTCCAGGAATGCGGGTGTAATGGGGACTGGGGAACACACGGTGGCGATAGCGTCGCGCTGATGTCTAAAGCTTGCTTTTCCTGCTCCCGCTCACATCCGGACAGGGGATTTTAGACGGAACCTTCGATATCATAACCTGCTCACTTGAGAATGATTTAGGGGCACTTGGCTGGCTCAGTTGGTGGAGCATGTGACTTTTGAGGTCAAAAAGTTTAAGCCCCACGTTGGGGGTAGAGATTACTTCAAAATAAATCTTTTTTAAAAAGTGAAAAGAGGGGCGCCTGGGTGGCTCAGTCGTTAAGCGTCTGCCTTCGGCTCAGGTCATGATGCCGGGGTCCTGGGATCGAGCCCCGCATCGGGCTCCCTGCTCCGCGGGAAGCCTGCTTCTCCCTCTCCCACTCCCGCTGCTTGTGTTCCTTTTCTCGCTGTGTCTCTCTCCGTCAAATAAATAAATAAAATCTTTAAAAAAAAAAAAGAAAAAATTATTTATCTCAGATGGAGCCTGTGGCTTCACTGATGTTGCACGCTGGAAGAACCTGTCCACGCTCTTCTCCCTTGTGTACGTTCAGGACTTGAATAAAACTTGAACCACGTCTCCTGTATGTCTCACGGGGAAATCCCGTCATGGGACCTAAAAGTTTAAACCTATTCTTATTCCAATTTAGTCCCAGGGCCAGGGATCAGTTGTTTTTCCTCCACAACAAAAATGAGCAGTAAGGGAAAAGAATTGATGGGATCTTATCACCACACTAGTCATTTCCAAATGCTTATCACTCAGTCCTTGCATTATTTCAAACTCAAGCAGAATATATTAAATAGCTCATACGGGTCTTCTGAAGTGCATTAACCAGCTATGCTGTGGGGATGCCATCTGCCGGGCTTCTTCAGAATGACTGTCACTCCATTCTTCGGCGCGTGTTGCCTGTGGAGAGCCTTCCCGGGCTGGCGGCCGTCAGTTACTGGACTTGCGTTGTAATCAGTCTTCATACGCTGAGTTCCTCCTGGGTGGAGGCTGTATCTGGTTTCTCGCTGGGATTTCAGCACCTGCCACACAGGAGGAACGAATGAAGAAAACCAAATGAAATGCCTGAAAGGTCTGAAAACAGTCCTTTTCCACTGGCAACTGTTCGAGTGGGCTTTTCTGTCTTTGCTGTTGGTTTTGCTTATGCCTTGCTACCTGGCTCTCCTCTATTTATTTACTTTTTTTTTTCTTAAATTTTTTTTTTTAAGATTCTATTTTTTTAAGTAATCTCTATGCCCAACGTGGGGCTCAAAATCCTGACCCCGAGATCAAGAGTCACATGATCTCCTGACTGAGCTGGCCAGGCGCCCCTGGTTCTCCTTCATTTAGAAACAGGTTTGAGAGTTGAATTTGTGGCCCATGTAGAACAGAGCTAAGCAAAGTAAACAAGCCCTTCAGGAGGTTAAGACTTAGATCTTAGTCCATTCTTTGTAATGCTCTTGACCAGGTAGGCCATTTAGGACCTTTTGGAGGAAGGTGAATGCCCTTCTATCACCTTGCTTTGGAAAGCACACTCTACCATTCAGCGATGCTGAGATCTGATTTGAACAAAACCCCTTTCAAGAAATAATGAAGACACCAAATGTGGACAAAGGGGTTTTGATTTGTGGGAAAACAAAATGTTCATCTCTTTTTTTCTTTTAAGATTTTATTTTTAAGTAATCTTTACACCCACCATGGGGTCAAACCCACAATCCCAAGATCAAGAGTCACATGCTCCACTGACTGAGCCAGCCAGGGGTCCTGTCCCAATGCTCATCTTTTTTATTATTTTTTAAAGATTTTACTTAATATGAGAAGTGGGGTATTGCCCGTCTCCGTCAATGTGTAGTGGGGCGCCTGGGTGCCTCAGTCGGTTGGGCGTCTGCCTTTGGCTCAGGTTATGATCCCGGGGTCCTGGGATTGAGCCCTGCGTTGGGCTCCCCACTCAGCGGGGAGCCTGCTTCTCCCTCTCCCTCTGCCTGCCACTACCCCTGCTTGTGCTCTCTCTCTCTGACAAATAAATAAAATCTTTAAAAAAATTTTTTTACTTATTTATTTGAGAGAGTATGAGCAGGGGCAGGGGCAGAGGGAGAAGGACAAGCAGACTCCCCGTTCAACCCCAGGACCCTGAGATCATGACCTGAGCTGAAATCAAGAGCCGGACACTTAACCAACTGAGCCACCCACCCAGGTGCCCCAATGCTCATCTGTTTTAGAGACTTTTGTACTCTTCATGATTTAGTGTGAAAAACCTAGACTTCAGAAGAATGATAGGTTTAAATCCCAGCAGAAGTGAATCCCTTTCATTCTTCTGGCATAAAATGAATTAACATTCCATTTAAAGAAGAAAATACTGGTGGTTGGAAAAGATCCATCGGTCTCTATCAGCCTTTGGTTAAGTACATTTAGAGCTGATGGCCAAAAGACATTTTTCTTACTAAGATCACAACCCCTTCTTGCCGGATGCCTACTCATCTGGTTTTGAGGGGGCCGGGGGTAAGCTCCACACTCAACATGGACCTTGAACTCACATCCCCAAGATCAAAAGTCGCATGCTCTACTGACTGAACCAGCCAGGCGCCCCTCGTGGTTTATTTTAAACAAAGGAAGGGAGTTAGTAGAGACCATGGTCCCTGTAGAACAGTGATCTTTGACCCTGGCAGTAGGGGGGATTTCACGATGGTAGCATCAATTATAGTCAAGGAGTAACCCCAGAGTGTTCTGACACCACCTGTCACAAGCCAAGAAGCAGTTCTTCCACTTGGATCTGGGTTTATTTATTTATTTTTATTTCTCTGTGGTTTGCTTATAGTTTTTTGGAACATGAAAGATAAACTCAGGCAATAATCCATATGGGTTTTTACACATATTACACACGTAGAAATCCCATCAGGCAATTCCTAGTGGAGAACCCTGACAAGACCTCTTGATGAAGTAATGGTAAATGTGAAATGTGCTCTTAAAATATGTATCGTCCTGCACTTGGCTTTGTGTGTGTGTATACATTTAATATGAGAAGTGGGGTATTGCCCGTCTCTGTCAATGTGTATGGGGTGGTAGGAAGACAACCAGAGGCACTTAGGCCCGAGAGTAAAAGGCAGTTCTGGCCCCGGGCTGGGGATAGAGGTAGGGTTAGGTGAAGCTCTGCACCAGTCCTTGGTGCAGACCATAGTGCAGGCCCACTCAGTCACCAAAGCAAGAATCGGATACAAAAATTGCAACCCCAGTGTTGGGAGAGGGGAGAGTGAAGGCAGCAGGAATGCCCACAGCCCTGATTCAGTGCTGCCAGGTCAGACCAGAGCTCCTGGCCAGACCCTCCTGGCTGATCACCCTTACATCCGTCCCTCTGTGAGCCAGGCAGGGCCCTGTGCAGTTGTTGGTCTTAAATCGGTGGTTATCAGCAAAAGCCACCACCACGTGGCCAGTGCCAGTCCCTCTGGGCCCTACACTCGCTCAGCAGACTGTTTCTACAGGACAGGAAGGGGCCAGAGCTGTCGGATACCGGGGTGCAGCTGGTGCCTCCATCAGCCACAATCCCTCTGGAGGCCACAGCTACTCCCATGGGAGTAAACTTGAAAAGGAACTCTCCACTGGCACAGGACACCTTCACGGGATGATGATGACAATCCTTCACTGCAATCGCGTTCTTGTTTCAGCTACAATGATGTGGCCACTCTGGGGGCCCACACAGAGGCCAGCTCCAACCTTGGTCTTTAACTTGCCCTCAGTGCAAAAGATGGCAGGGACTGGACACAGAGGGCGACAGGTCCCAGGGGAAAGAACGTGTGCGCTGCTCGGCTAACATTTTTAAATGTAGCAAAATCGGGACGCCTGGGAGGCTCAGTTGGTTAAGCGTCTGCCTTCCGCTCAGGTCGTGATCCTGGGATCGGGCTCTCTGCTCAGCGGGGAGCCTGCTTCTCCCTCTCCTGCCGCTCTCCCTGCTTGTGCTCTCTCTCTCTGTCAAATAAATAAAATCTTTAAAAAAAAAAATTTTTTTTTTAAAGATTTTATTTATTTATCTGAGAGAGA